GGAGGCGGCTGGTGCAGTGTCCCTGTGAATGGTCCCCAGAGAGGGCACAGTGATTAAAACAGCGACTGCGTGTTGGTCCTTCAGCTCAGCGGCAAGGGTCACTCAGCCCCACCGACAGGGTTACCGCCCCTCCGGCTCACACTTGGCCTTGCCGACCTCCCTGCTGCCTGGAGGTTCCAGCAGGAAAGAGCCTCAAAGACTGGGACTGACTGTGGGGGTCAGCGCAGACGTGTCTTCTGCCCGAACAGCAGAACATGGAAGAGGCACCGTGTTTGTTTAGAAAAGTTTCCTCAAAGCCTGTGTGGGAAGGCCTCTGAGGATGGTGGCTGAGAGCCTTGTCAAAGGGCAGTTCTGTCATTACAGCAATTAGACACCGGGTCCGGGGGCGGCAGGCCAGCAGCTTTGGGTGTTCTGTCGCAGCCGCAGTCAGCGCCCGGCGCTCCCTGGACACGCAGACACATGAACGACAGACCTGCGCTCCTCACCCTCACCCCCGAGATTGCCTTTCCCGCGCCTTCTAACTCTGTGTCTCTTTTATGTTCCAGAGGCAAAAAGCTTGCGGTCAGAGAGAAAAGCATTTTTTCCTGTTGCTAATAAGCTATGCATGCACAAAAGGTTATTTCTGAGTTTCTCTCAAAGACCCTGTGATTCAAAGTGAGGGATTTGGTAGGCTCTAAGGAGAATGGTGAGAAATGAGAAATTACAGGGTGTTTGGAATTTTTTGGACGTCCCGAGTTTAACAACGATGCATTCTCTGCATGGTTAGGACGACACTTTCACCGGCTGCACATGTCCTCCTTTGCTCCGAGGACTGCGGCTGTTTGAGTGGACAGGGAAGGGGGTGGCCCGGGCTCCCCCTCCCCCGCGGTGGGGACAAGCTTGGAGCCCCAAGAGGAGCCCGGCGGGGCCACGGGGTTCGGGAGAGAGGCCGCGGAGCGTGGGCTCAGGCACGGAAGCCTTACCTGAAATCCCAAAAAGCACTTCAGTTGGCTGCTGGCGAGCACAGTCAAAGGAATCCCTTTTAGAAAATAACGCTGAGGGATTCAAAATGTGCTCAGTGATTTCAGCCCCACCTGGGGGGTCTTGTGTCTGGACTCCACTTCACACTTAAGCCGTCAACCTGTGCTTGGAATTTCTGTACCTGAACACATGTTACTACACATGTAGTTTGAAAAAGAGAAATAAATAGATAGCATTTTTGTAATCAATACAGATGAAATAGTTGTCTTGAATGGCAAAGGCTGCAGCGTCTCGGCCATCTGGCTCACCGGAGCAACGCTCGATTCGCTTTTTGCGTGTGCTGGGTTTTGTGCACCTGTCCATCCGGTGGCCTCTGTGTCCAGCACTGTCTCGCTCCGTCCCCAGAGCCCTTCTGTGGGGCAGGGATTATGATTCCCACTTCACAGATGAGGAAACTGAGGCTCAGAGTCTGACTGAGATACCTGTTTGCACAGGAGGATGAGTGGGAAGATGGAGTCTTGGAAGGGGGGGGCAGGTAAATCAGGGTGAACTCGAGAAAGATTCCGAGGGCTGTGAGCTAGTTTAAAAAGATGACGGGTCACTCTCCCACTAGTGGGGGGGCAATATCTGTGCAGGACGCTGGGATGCAGAAAGGGATCTATCGCAGGGAACCCTGTGCGCATAGTGTTGGGCGGGAGAAGCAGGAGGCAGAAGACGTTCACTAGGCTTCAAGGCCCCGTCACAGTGGCTGTGTCCGGAGGGGAGAAAGTCTCCACCCTCATTAGAACACACTGGTCCCCAAGGCCAACGCCACCGTCCCTGAGGAAGGGAGGTCTGACTCATCATGGCACCCCACGGGCTTCGGAGTGCAGAAACACAGGGCACTGGACGCGGACCCCAAAGTGATGCATTTATAGATCCAGCGGCCTGCTGGTCCACGGCAGCCAGCCTGCGTCGAAGTGGATGGGCGTGGTATTGGGAGGGGAGAGCTGGGAACTGACTCCTGCAAACCTGAAAACTGGCCAGGGACAGTGGCTGCGTCACCGTCCCCTGGAGAAATAGAAGGGCAGGGTGGGGGGCGGGGGGAGCGTCTTAGGAATGGGCTCACGGGAGTCTGGCGGCTGCAAGTCTGAGGTCTGTAGCGGTGGCTGGCAGGCTGGAGACTCTTGTAAGCCCTGGTGTTGAGACTTGAGCTGACACCCACGGGGCAGGCCAGCAGGCGGGGTACCGGGCAGGGCTCCCGTGTTGGGAAGCCTCGGTCCTCACTCTGAAGGCCTTCGCCTGATTGGACGCAGCCCACCCACATCCTAGAGGGCTCTCCGCTTTACTCGAAGTCAGTCATTTAAATGCCAATCTTGGTTACAACCCGCCTGCACAGCAACATCTATGCTAGTGTTCGGCCAGGCGAGTGGGCAGCCCAGCCGAGGTGACGCAGAAAAACAGTGTGCGGACGCCACCTTCTGATGCACTGAGAGGACTGTCCCTGCGTGGATGTCAGGCACCAGGCTAATGGGGCTTCTTCCTAAGGGGACGGCTGGGAGTCAGAGCGAGCCATCGCTGCTGGGTTCGATCGCTTCACACGGGGAAAGAGGGGCGTCATGGAAGCTGCAGGCAGAGAGAGCAGGGGGCAGGGGAAACATCCCGCGGACAGAGAAAGCCGCCCCCGCTCTGCAAGAGCCAACAGCACCGGGCGATCAGTCCTGCGGCGTCTGCCTTTCCTTCGAGAAGTCTCACACGGCGCCCTGGCCGGGTTGGCTGGAGCGTCGGCGGACGTACACCAAAAGGTTGCAAGTTCGATCCCTGGTCAGGGCATGTACCTGGGTCATGGATTTGATCACCAGTCGGGGTGCACACGGGAGGCAACCGATCGATGTTTCTCTCTCACATCGATGTTTCTCTCCCTCCCTCTCTCTCTCATTAGTAAACATATCCTCCTGTGGGCATTAAAAATAAATTTAAAAGTCTTCCATTTGTGTGTCTAAATAGAGCCTACAAAATCTGAATACCCAGTACAGAGTTGAAATGCATGGCTCCATCCGAGAACAGAAAGAAATGTTATCAGAACATTGTCGTATTTTCTCTCATACATTATCAGCTTAATTAGTCCTGCTAATAATGATTATTAATGACCCTTGTAAACTAGTCCTAGTGTGGTTTTGTTTAAATAATAGCGTTTATGCAACAGAAACATGTCGAGTAGAATGACACATGATTTTTAAATAAATACGTATTTTGTGTGTTTTCCCTCGAAAGCAGTCACACCTGTGTCTGAGTGTTCGTGGGCACTGTGTACTCGGGTTAGTGCTGCTGGTCAGTCTTCCCTCTCTGTGTCCCCCGTTTGAACAAGCTGGTCACCCTGCCCGTTCGCCCAGCACAGCCGGGAGCCGGGGGCAGGGAGAGTGCAGATGCCACCGTGCGGATTCAGGGCCGGGACCCTGGGGAGTGGGGGTGACCTTGTGTGGGACCAGTCGCTTGGGTCATCTTGGCCGCCACGGCCACCAGCAGCCAGCGCCCCACTTGCAGATGCCCAGTGGCTGGGACCCCGTGTCCATGAGGAACCAGGGGTCTCCACGGGCGGCTTCCTAATCTCCTTTGGCACAACGGTGCGGTGCCCCAGAGTACCTAGCTGCTCATTCAGGCACCTGCAGGCTGTCAAAAGCCCGCGACCATCCCATGGTCCGGTGTGCTCGGCCACGAAACGGGGAAAGCGTGACGCGGGTTTGCTGTGGGGTGGCGGGTGAGGGACACGAAAGGGCCTGGGAACCGAGGGGTAAAACCGCACCTGTAGGCCACTGGGGCCCTTCCAGCAGCAATTCTGACGTTGGCAGCTTGATCAAACGGGCAGTTGTAACCACCCTAAATGGAGCAGATGTTACCGAGGGCCGACGGCGGTCCCGACTGCGGGAAGTGCTTCTACACAGATTATCTCACCCTCCCCACAGCCTCGAGGAGTGGGTGAGGCACTGATGGGTTTCGCAGATGGGGCTTAAGGCCTTCGATGGCCCGGCTCGAGTCCCCAGCACCGGTCAGTAGCAGATCTGGGGTTTGGACCCAGGCAGCCGGCCAGAGCCCACACTTCGGACCACTAAGCACCCCGACCCCTAATCACAGCACTTTGTGAAGCCGAGACAACAAGCAGAAACTGGTCCCTGCAGGGAGATTTTTAGTAAAATGTTGCAGAATGGCGATGAGACGTGGGCCACGGAGAATATCGAACTCCGTGAAGAGGCAAAGACTCGGAGTGTTCCATTGGCACCAACGCCCAGCACTGAGGGGCTTTAAAAACTGCTGTGCTCCAAACGAGATGACACCCCACGGACCAGAGCCCCTGTGAGGGCGGCTGCGGGCCTGCCGGGCGGCGGGTCTGGAGGCAGGTGGAGGAGGCAGCAAGCCTGTTTGCCACACGGCGGCAAAGCCACGAATGGCTGAAGGGGCTCAGGGCATGGAGCCCGGGGTGGGCACGGCTCTGCCGCAGAGAGGATGAAGGTGCTTCCGTCCCCGCCGCCGAGGCTGGAGACACTCGCCTGTTCAGCTGAGGGAAAGTGAACGCAGCCTTGCGGCCGGGATCTGGCCACTCTGCCCCGGGGCTCCGTGGCTGCCACTGCAGTGACCTCACGATCTCCTGAGGACGGACACGGCGGAGACCCACTTTGGTCTGTGGTTCTGAACCGAAGACCCCGGGGGGAGAGAGACAGCAAATGCCCCAGAAAGGGGGTGCCGCGTCTGTGCAGAGCCGCTGCGCGGAAACGAAACGAAACAAGAACAAACGAGCTCTGCACAGACTCGCGCCGACGAAATCCACAAAATCGGCCACCAGGAAACGAGGTCACTTCAGGGGACGCGAGAAGCCTGCCATGCACGTGAACACGGTTTTTGAGTTCCCGTGCTGCGTGTCTTGTAAGAGTTAAACCAAAGAGTAATGGGGTAAAAGGTGATCTGAACAAAGTAAGGACGTAGGCCAAGCAGAAATGCAAAAAGAACAGATGCCTATAAAAAATTTAGAAATCCTGGCAATGAAGCCGCTTAACACTGAGACTTACCCAGCTCAGCAGGTGGGATGGACTTGAGACCATGTGGCTGAAGAGAGGATCGGTGAACGGGAAGGTCACCATGAAGGACGTCGTCCAGACTGCGATGCGGGGCAGGAAGTTGTCGGGAGGGCAGGCAACCAAGCAGGTGTGGGGCAGCGCTGGCCCCAGAGTGCGTTTTCCGAACCAGCTGGACATTGGCTGCAGGTCCTGTGGACAGGCATTTGCTCTTAGGACTGCAGGGGCTGGTGGGTCTCGGGACCCGCAGAGTGGGCTGGCGGGCTGGACACGCAGGAGGGTCAGCAAGGGGTCCGAAAGCAGGACACAGGCAATGTCCCAGTTCAAAGGACGTCAGACCGGGGGAATTCCCTCTGACTTGGGGGAGGTTCCGCCCTGCGTGCTGTTCAGACTTCGGCACGTGGGATGCGCCCCCCATACCAGAGAGCAGTCTGCACGACTCTGTCTACCAGCGGGAGTTCTTCCGAGCCACAGACTCCCTCAGACACACCCAGAATAACGTCGGACCAAATATGTGTGCACCCTGAGGCTCTGTCACGCTGACAATGACCTGTCACCTGTGCCCTTGGGGACTTAGTGGGAACAGCACCGCAGTTCACAAGGAACGCAGAGGGAGGGAGAGCCCCTTCTTTTCAGCAGATAGGAGAATGGATTGTGATGATGGTGTCTCTAGCTGCAGCTGGCTGGGATTCTGGGTTTATAGCGACATTTGTAGAAGAGAAAACACATGTATTTTGAAGCCAGAGAGACCTAAGTGAGACTCGCTCCCCCTACTAGCTCTGTGACGTGTTGTAGTTCTTAATTTCTCTGAGCCTCAGTTTCCCATCTCTTAAAAGAGAATAATAACAGCACCCTCCTCAAAGGCATATCGAGGGGAGTAAAGGGGTGATGTATAAAGTCCGTAGCACAACACCCAACCTCCCACAGCTCAGCAATGGTCCGCACTGGGGACGCAGACCGCGGGCCCAGCTCTGCTCTCGAGACCCGCCCTCGTCAGCACCGGGGAGCCCCGCACACGGGAAGGCGCAGGGCAGGAGGGCCTGTGGGGGTGGGTCTGAATCCTGCTTGCCCCACACCCTGGCTGGGGGGCCGGGGTCCCCACAGTCTTCTCGTTCGCTGCCCACCTGCACGCTGCGGGCGAGGCCCCTGCCTCCGGGGCTGTGTTGCTGAACTGGGGGGACTTTTTCCCTGGTGATGTTGGGTGACGTCTGGAGACCTTTGTGATGGTCACCAATTGGGTCCAGGTTGCTAGTGGCTTCTAGTGGGTGGGGGTCAGGGGCGCGTGGGACAATAAAGAACCACCTGCAGAGGCTCCGGCTTGGGAAACCTGAATGGGGTCGTGTTCATAAAAGGCCTGGCTTCGGAGGCGCAAGTGAAGGCTCTCATGGCTGTCCCATCGTCGCCAGCATTACCAGCAAGGACTCAGAGCAGTGCTACGGGGATTTCGGTTCTGCTCCCCTCCCCTCCCCCGGCCCGTCCCCACCCCTGGGCTGGGCACCCACAGGGAGAAGGCCTGGGACCCCTGCGGCCTCTGGCCCCAAGCTCAGAACCTGGAGGGTGGAGCCTCTTGTGACTTCCCACAAAGACCACCTGCCTGCTTCAGGTTCAACACAGAATGCTCTGGAATGCTGCCTCTGGTCAGCCACATCTGGGCTGCTTTCTGGCTCTCTGGGCGGACCCAGCCTTGTGCTGCCCCTGAGGCTGTGGCCCAGCAGCAGCCCCCACCCACAGCCCCCCAGGGTGACCCTCCCTGCCCCCAGCGGGCCCCTTCCACCCGCCTCCGAGCTGCTCTGGCGACCCGGCTCCCTCCGCTGGCTCCTGGCAGCGCCCCTGGCCCTGGGATCTGAGAGGAAGACTCTGTGCCCCGTGTGTGGGTACAGGAAAGGACAGGGACCGCACCCTGAAATTGTCTTCCGCCCACGAGGGGGGAACCCCAACCCCCAGACACAGCAGAAGCCCAGACCAGGGCAGGGGGACCCGTCCTTCCTCCAAGCCTCACTGCGCCCACCGCCTTAGCCGGGCTTGAAGGGCAGAACCGGGCCACAGGCCGTGGAGCGGGGCTGCTTTTCCCAGGCCCGGCCGCAGCCAAGTCCAGTCGCAAACTTTCCCCTGGTCCCATTTCCCCTTTGAAGTCGGCCCCAACAGCAACACGGATGGAAATGGAGTCCGCTCCTCTGAGACGGGGCAGTTTCCCGGGCACCCGCCCCGGGGTGGCAGCGAGCGGGCTGGCCTTCCTCCCCACGCCAAGCTTTCCGGCCAGCGCTGGTGAACTTTTTTTTTTCCCCCTCACTGGAGAGCCGTAAACACAGAGGTACCAAAGAGTTAATCTGCGTTTTTTAAACCTCCTTCCCAATGCCCGCTCTCACTCCAGCATAAAATCCTGCTGTCCAGACATCAAATCAGTAAGCCCTGTTGCCTGTCGGAGAATACAATGTCAGCCCATTAGTATGTTAATAAGTCCGAGGGCGACAGGTGGCCTCCTAGACAGCTCAATTAAGCTGCTCATTAAACACACGCTAACGAACAGCCAGGCAGGGCCTGAACAGCACCATTCTGTAATGACATGATGTCAGAGCGAACAAATGAGGAACAATAACAAAAACATCGCAGCCGAGAAGACAGACGCCACTAATAAGGACTCCTCGCCCCGCACCAGCCCGCAAATCAATGAGCCACAGGGATCAAAAAACTCGACCCAACATTCTCAGGAGGCTGAATGCAGCAAGATTTTTTTGGTCAGTACTTAAAAAAAAAAAAAAATCTCACCCCACACCTAAAATGATCGGAGAATATCACAAATTAACTGCTAAAAAAGAAAGAAAGAAAGAAAAAAGAGCAAAAGACACAGAGCTAATCGCAAAGTCTGAGAAATTTGGATTGTTGAGTTTGAATGAAAATCATTTTTTAATGGGATCGTCATTTACATTTGATTGGCATCTTTCTCCCTTCTAAAGCCCACAGGTTCCGGCCATTTGCCTCCTTGCCGCTGGGCCGCTTTTGGGGCGCAGCGGAATGTGAAGGGGCACAGAGCCAGGTTTCTTAGGTGAAGATTCTACTTATTATTTTTAAAGGAGGGGTTTCCAGCTGCTGCTAGAGGTTTCTCTCATTTTCAAGCAGGGGGCTTCCTGAGCAATAAACAGCCCAGTCTCCCCTGGCCCTACTTCTGACGCTGCAGACAGCCCACTAAACCAATAGGCTGCTTTGCCATTAGGAGGCCTTGACCTTGGCTCTCATCTCTTGTCGAGTTAGCAGCTGACACCTCCTCCGCCTCCTAGGTCTGCTGGCTTCCTTCAGGCCCCCGGGCTGCACCTCTCAGGGATGCCCAGGGCCCACGGAAACCCTGCCCGTGGCAGTGGGGCTGCCTCCCTGGACCTGGAGCAGGGAGGTTTCCCGAGTTTGGAGAGCTCCCTGGCCCACCGTGGGTCTCGACCAGGCAAGGCTGTCACTACCGAGTCCCCAAGCAGGACACATGGCCTTCCTGACTGTGTTGCCTTATTTATAAAATGCTACTGAACTCGGTTTTCTCTTGGCCCTTCCGTTCTAACAGGGTCTTCAGTGTCACACGTGGAAGGTGCTCCTGGAGTTCGCTGTCACCCTGGGCAGACCACCCCAGTCCCTGAAAGCCACCTGGGGAAGTGGGGAGCAAAGGGCAGTGTGTCCTCTGGGGGGGGGACATCGGAACTCAGAATGGAGACCTCGGGGTTTGTGGGTGCTGTGCGCCCATCCCCCTAATCAGCTGGGCCCGAGTAGACGAGAGGGTGCAGGGGGAGGCGGGCCGGCAGCACCGGGAAGTGGGGCCACAGGGGCTCCAGGGCGGCGCCTGACCGCTGGCAGGAGGCTGGAGCGCAGCTACACGCGCGTGTCCAGTTATAAATGCACGGATATCACTACACTGACCTATTAACTTGTTAGCACATGCAGCAGAACGAGGCCATGTTAAATGGTGAGATTCTTTAAAAAGTCCAAACATTTTCTCTCTGCGTCCCAGACGGTGCCGCTGGGCAGCTCCTAGGGCGAGCAGCCCAGGATTTGAAGACCACCGTTCCAGGAGGCGGGGGGAGGGGAAAGGACCAAAGAACCAGCACACGTGTGTGTGTGTGTGTGTGTGTGTGCGCGTGTGTGTGTGTGTGTGTGTGTGACAGAGGTGGCGGGTGACGTATGGACAGACCCGCCTCCTGGGGACAAGACGGGTCGTGACAACGGTGGGACATGGAGTGGGACGTGGGGCGAAGCCACAGGAGGCAGATGTGCCAGGGCAGAGGGGAGGGCGCTCGGTGGGTGTGGGGCGCGCAGCACCCCGGCTCCCTGTGTCTGGTGCTAGAGGACAGCCTTAGCCCGCGGACGTGGGGCACACGGCGGCCCTCCCCATGTGCCCTGAGGGTCCTCTCTGCCCGGGAGCCCTGGGAACCCAGAGGGAGAACGCCCACGGCCCCGCCCGCTCCGCTCTGGGTGCCCAGACTCACGGGCAGCCGCGCCACCCAGGTCCCCGCCCTCAGGGGTGTGCGGTCGCCTGGGGGAGACCGGCCCATCGCACGGTCACTGCACGGTCAGTCGGGCCGGGATGTGCGGGGCAGAGGCGGCAGCCGGCTCGCGGGGGCACAGGGCGCTGGGCCCGCTCCGTCTGGGAGTCTGCCCAGGGCCGGGGCACGCAGCACCATGTCTCCGCGCCGTTCAGCAGGGGGGCCACGCATGGCTGTTACAGTGGCTGAGCAACTGAAGTTTTTAATGAATTAGAACGTGAACCGCCACACGCAGGGGTGTCTACCACGCCCGACCGAGAGCAGAGCCGGGAAGTAGGCGGCACGTGACCGGCGCTGAGTGCCCTGTGGTGACAGGTCCGAGGTCCCAGCGGCTGGGAGGTGGTTGGCTGTTCCCTCGGCACCGCCGCTGACTCCCCGGGGTCTTGGACTCAGTGGGCAGGTGCTGGCGTGGACATGACGACTAGTTAGAAATGAAAAATAAGCTTACAACATCTTTTTCCCTCTTCTGTTCTGTTCCGAGTTCAAACCCCACCTCCCCGGGCCAGAGGGACTCCCTCCCCATCTTGGAAAACGTGGAGAAAACTCTCACAGCAGTTCCAGCCCGGCCACGGGGGGCAGTGCGTGTGCCCCAAGGTCCGTCCCGCACACCGGCTCTCTGGCAGGTGTTAGGCTCCGGTTTCCCAGGGACGGGAGGACACACTTGAGCTTCGGAACCTCTTCCCTCTCTCCTTTCCTTCACTGCTGTGTTAGACACTCCAAGCCAAGGGGAGAAGTCGAGAAGGAAATTTCTCTTCAGGTGTCAAAGCACAGCCTACAAAATGGCAACGGGCTCTGGAAGGAACCTCCATTCTGGTTTTGTCTGCTTGTTTGAGAGTCGTTATGATGAGGACGGGACGAGGGACGTGCCAAAGCCAGGCCGCCGAGAGCAGGGGCACTTGTGTCCAGAGAGGGCATGCGGAGTGTGCGGGCAGCCTCCAGTTCCTCCCGAAGCCCCAGCAACAGGGGAGGTGTTTGGAGAACACACAGACCTACAGGGTGATGGTGATGGCGTGGCACTTGGCAGCTGGAAAGCAAGGTGTGCTTGGCGAGGGACATGACAGAGCCAAGAAGGTGGAATTGTGAGCCGCCGGCGGGGGAAGCCAAGAGCGAGCTGCGGCTCAGGAACGGCTGACACGTGGGCCCCTGTGGAAGTGGGGGTGAAGCAGGGTGACCGATCCCAGTCCTTCAGCCTCCCTCCTGCCACGGCAGGCCGGACTAACGTTTGCACTCAGAGTGTCCAGTCTCTGGGTCCCCCCCCACCCCCCGCCATTGGGTTTCCAGAATAACGGCAGTAAGGACGACAGCTTCCCCGGGGGACAATGTTGGAGCCTCCACTGCCACGCTCCCAGCAAGGTGAGAGAGAAGCCCTCAGACTCAGGTGTCTGAAGCTGCCCAGGAAAATGGCCCAAGAAGGCGGCCGTCCTGAAGCTGCAGGGGCCAAGGCGCGTGACCTGCATGTAAACGCTAAGAGACACGTGAGGACCGTCTGGCATTGGAGAACAGGTCCTGGTGGAAAAGGTGGAATGGGGGGGCACTTGGGGGCAACAGAAGCTCTGGGACTCACACAGGGAGAAGGAAAGGGTTAAAAGTTACTAGGAGTTCAGTCTGAACAGCGGACTAGACAGACGCTGGGCTTACCTCCTCCCGTGACCACGTCAGAATTAAACTAAATCATGGAACGGTGGGCCTCACCTGCAGCCTGTTGACTCCGGTGCCAAAGGGCTGGGCAGGCTTCTCCCCGAGCGGCCGGGGCCGCAAGTGGCCTTCTCTCCGGACAGAGCTGTGGGCCTCCCAGCTGGGTTTCCTGGGCTGGCGTGTTCCTCGCTGCCCCGTCTCTGCCTGTCTGTCTGTCTGTCTGTCTCTTCTTCCAAAGTGAACGTCCCGTTTGGAGCAGGATTAGAACTCGGCAGAGCCGGCTGGAGTGTTAGCATTCGCCGGCCCTGCCTGATAAAGGCCTGCAGACGTGAACGAAGGCTCCCTGCCCTGTCCCCAGACCCCCATCCAGGTTCGGCCTGCCTACCCAAGTCACCCAGGGAGAGTCACTCCTGAGGCCGGGGTGGGGACAGGAGGGTACTGTTCCTCCCCTGAGGTGACAGGCCACCCTGGAGATGACGACTCTTGTTTGTAACTGTAGCACTTCCTGTTGTGGGCTCTGAAATCCCCACTTCCTTGGGGGAAGGCCCCCAATTGGTAATGAGGAAGTAAAAGGACTCACTCTTGGCTGAACCGCTGCAGCGCTGGGCTCTGGGACACGCGGTTCCCTCTTGGTACAGGGTGGGGACATAGCTGTACAGTGGCCTCTCGGATCAGGCTGTACCCAAGGGCGGAAACCTCTCCCACAAGCCCTGGGACCTGCTGCGGGGGCCCTGCCGGCTTGCTGCCCTCGTCTCTGGCACTGGGCTGGCAGGGAAGTGGGTCAGGACGTGTGCAAACCCACAGGAGCCTCTGCAAGCCCCTATGAGGACTCGGGTGGCCTTGCGATGCTACCCCTGCTTCTGAGAAGGGACTAGGGGTGGCCCAGGGCTTGAGCCTCCTGCTCCTTTGAAAAGAAGTTTGGTCTTAAGTGCAGAGCTCAGATTCCAGGGAGCCGGCCGAGCTGCTCCGCTGCTGGGCTCCAGGGCGGAGGGCTCGTGGTGACCACTGGCGTCGGCTCCGGGGTGGGGTGGCGGGGCAGGTGTTTCAAGAGGATTAATGCCTGAAAGAGAAGCCCGGTTTTCCTGAGGGTCACCAGCTTCCCAAAGGCGGCTTTTCCCCGTAGCGCCTCAACGTGGGAGAACGTGGAGAAGGGGAGTTTGCGTCCTCTGATCAAACGGAGCAGCCCAGGCCTCCAGGGCCTCAGCTTACTTAACCCTCACAGTGACCACATCACCTCTCTTCAGGGCTGCGTTGCGTCCCTCCCCAAATTCTGGAGTTGGGGCCCTCAGCCCCAGGACCTCAAAAAAAGACTGTTTTGGGGTGGAGTATTTAAAGAGGTAACTAGGGCAAAGTGAGGCCACCAGGGTGGGCCCCCGTCCAGAGTGACTGGTGTCCTCTTGGCAGAGGAGACAGCCCTGCCCGGCCAGGCAGTCATCATCTGCTGGATCTGAGTGCCCCCCGAAAGACAGGTGAAAGCTGTGACCCCAGGCCCCAGGATGCCAGCTCCCTCGGAAACAGCCTCTGCAGGTGTGGTCAGTTAAGATGGGGTCGTGCTGGGGCAGGGTGGACCCTCAGTGCTAGACAGCCTGCGTGCTTATCAGGACACAGCCATGACAAGGCACAAATACTGGCAGAGGGAAGGACCCTTGCAGATGGAGGCAGAGACCGGGGTGATGTGGCCCATGGCCAGGGATGCCGGGGCCACCGGGTGCTGGAAGAGGCGGGAAGCTTCTTCCCGTAGGGACTTGGAAGCATGGCCATGCCTGCACCTGAACTCCAGACTCCTAGCCCTGGAGCACCGAGGCAGTAAATTTTAGTCGTTCAAAGCCACCTGATTGGTGGTACTCTGTGACAGCAAGCCATTCCAGGAAAATCACTTCTTTTCAACCAAAGCATTTTAAATGAAATGGGTTCAGTTTCCTATTCATCCTCATGACACCCCGAGGGAGGAGTCAGCGCCCCCACCCCTGCCACAGCTGGGGAGGGGCCGGTGCCGGAGGCTGAGCGGCTCCCCTGCAGGCCCACAGCTCTGCCATTCGCACCGTTGTGGCTGGGGGGTAGCACTTACCCCTCAGGGAAATGGGACTATTCAGGCGCCCACACTGAGTTTCACCCTAATAATCAGTCTAACTGCTTCGGAGAAAAGGCGCAAACCCTGTTGTCGGTTTTAAAAAGTTCCATGGTATGTTGAGGAACAGAAGCAAATGTGGAAACTGAGGCTCTTCAGAGGAAACCTGGTTATTAGCCAGGGAGGCGGGGCTTTGCCCGTTCCTGTGGGAGGAGCTTTAGGGACAGGGCCTGGGGCAGAGCAGGGAGGTGTGTGCGTGGGCGGGGCCTGTTGCCCCACCCCCAACCCCGCCAGGGCGACCTGGGTGAGTGGATCAGCCTCCTGCACCCGCACTGCCAGTCCCCAGCTGTGACCTGGAGGTGCTGACTCCTCCCTCAGGGGCTGTCGTGATGGTGTCACCGCTGAGCCCCACGCCTGGCACAGTGTCAGCTCTCACCCCACTGACTTGCGAATACCTCCACTTACCCCAACAGTGTCGGTGGCCCTACAAGGCAGTCTGAGTCACAGAGGAAGACGACGAGTCACCGCCCCATCTTCCAGGCCCAGGGAGGCAGCTGGTGAAGGGTCAGCAGTAGGCTTCCACAGGCTCCAGCACCGAGTGACTCCTCCCTGCAGGTGGCAGGGCCGGCGCAGCCCCTCTGAACGCAAACCGCGGAGGCAAATGAGCAGAGCAACCCAGCACCCCGCCTACAGGCTGCTTTCGGGAATTTAGTAACAAAATACACGAAAGAGTATTCTGGGACAAGGTGAAGGCCCTGCACAGAATTTCTGAATATAAATCATGTATATTAAATGTATGTGTGTGTCTTTGATATACATCTATGAGGTTTATATTCCACCCACAGATTGGACGATTGTGTTCTGTGTTCATTAGACCAGTGGCATCAGAACAGGTTAGCACGAGATTAACTAAAAATGTAAAAATAGATGATCCGTGGTATCTAAAAATCAAGGAGAGCCCAGCGAGCAGTGGCCCCATTTTCACGGAGGGAAATATACTTATGGTATTATGTATTAACATGGGGGGCGTTTTCTCAACCCAGGGGTGACGTTACCCCCTGGGGAGTATGCGATCCTGGTGGGAAACCTACTCGGGCCTCACAGTTGGGGACAGAGCATCACTGGCATGTGGTGGGTGGAGGGCAGGGGTGCTGTTAAGAACCTGACGAGGCACAGGACGGTCCCCACAGCAGAGAGCAACCAGGCCCACACGGTGCCAAAGTTGAGAAACACCTTCAGAGAAGAGCCCCCTCTCTCCATTGGGGACCTGGGACCTGGGGGTCAGATTCTCATTCCTTTCTTGAAATGGGTGGGTGGGTGCGTGGGTAGCGTTAGGAAAGCTAGGTCAGGCTAGAAAGTGCTGGAGGCCGCGAGGACGTAATCTAAAATCCGAGCTGGCACTGCCTCCTCCCTTGTCCTCGGAGAGCTGAAGATACTAAACCCGGCGCCTGCTTTACGGGGCAAGGACCCTCCAGCTTTCCTGTCGCCTCGGCACCCTGCCCGCGGCTGCACCACGGGAGGACACCAGAGGGCGCTCAAGAGAGGACGCAGGTACCGGTCAAGTTGCTCTGCTGGGGCGGGGAGAGGAGCGACCTTCCCACCTCCGCACGGCCTGCCGCTCCGAGTGGCTCGGCAAAGCTTCCCGAGGCAGAGCCACGTCCTCCTGGCCGCAGGAAACCTGCTGGCTGACTCGAAGCCGGCGCCTCAGGCCCTCAGCCCGCGGCCCAAGTGGGAGATTTCATCTGCAGAGGGGCGTGGAGAGCAGTGCCGTGGGGGCCACAAGGCAAAGCCTGCGCTTCTTCAGCGCAGTGAGGTTCGGGCAGATGGTGGACTGCGAGCCCCGTTCTAAGGCAGCTCGTTTTTACCCTAACTTCCCCCTTACAGGGGCTCTCGGAACTCCACGGCCCACGTGCAGACATGGAGGCTTGGATGGCGTGTGACTTGCCCAGCACTGTAGTAACCCAGTGCCGCAAACTGGGCAGCTCTCACCCCAAACGTTCACTCTCTCACAGGCCAAGGTCAGGGTGTCAGCAGCACTGGCTCCCTCTGAGGCTGAGATGGGGAACCTGTGCTCACGCTTCTGGAAGTTTCCAGGATGTCTGCTTCCTCGGCCTGCAGGCCCAGCACCCAGGCCTCTAGCCCTGAGGTCACAGGACGTCTCCCGGGGGGCATCGTTCTCTGTGTCCAGATTGCCCTTCACCAGGACCCCCACTGCCGGGTTCGGGGCCCACCCTCCTCTTCACTTGGTCATCGGCAGAAACCCCATTTCCAGAATAGGTCACCTTCATCCCGTTGACAGGTGCTGGGGGAGGACACCAATGTCTTTGGGAGGGACACAGTTCAATCCATAACAGGTGGCTTCTCAAGTCTCTTCCCTTTTCTTGACATTACGTCCATGGAGTCTAGGGGCAGGGCTGACTCCCTGCAGCTCGGAGGGTGAGTCCACTGGTGCCTCCTGGGGTGGAGGGGCAGTGGGTTCAGCCGGAAAACCGAGTGCAGCCCCCCCGGCTGCCGCCGATGTTCCCCGACTGGCCACTCTTCTCAGGGGCCGTTCCCAAGGCTGGTCGCCGCCTGTCCGTCTCAGAATTGCGTGGGTGCCGGCTGGAACCCATGGGAAACGTGTTCGGCTTGCGGAGAGAGACGCAGGAGGCTGTCGGGTCGCACAGGCAACGAGGGGGGCGGGGTGTTGACCGTTTCAAGATCATTTAAGAATCCTGTCAAATGAAAGGCACCTCACAGTGGGGTCTCATAACGGAGAAATGCATTGGTTCTCTGTTGGTGTGGAAGAATAACGTGACCCAAAGCCTGCAGCCGGAGGTCTTCCCGAAAGTGGCCTCTCTACATTCCCACAGGGAGGGAAAGGTGAATGATTATTGCGCTTCTGTAAAGAGTGCACGTCCATGGAAAGAAAAAAGTCAAGGAGTTTTGCAAGCAGATGCCTCAATGGGAACAGAATAGCCACGTTTTGGGAGCCTCGCTTTGTGTCTGGAAAAGCAGCCACAGGGAATTCCGGGCACGGCCTGCTCCGAGAGCTCAGCACCTCACACGAACAGGCAGCCACGGGGCTCGGTCCTGTTCGGCGTTCTGAGAAGTGCGACCCCTCCGTCACTTCCACAATCTGTGGCACCGCACAGCTTCCCATAGTCGTGTCCCAGCGTCCCCGTCTGCCCGTGAAAACGCACGACTTGTTTTGAAAGGACGATGGGAGCTCTGTCACATACCACCCGACTAGAACTCTCCAGTGGCCTCCGGTGAGCCTCCGTCCCTCCGGTGAGGGACGTTCCTCAGAGCCCGCTTCCTCTGTCCCCGTCTTGACCGGGTAGTTTGGGACTTGAAGATGTCACGGGGCTTTGCAG